AGTGATTTCACTCTGCTCATATATATACGTATATATATATATATATATATATATATATATATATATTAAGTGAATAATTTCAGAAATTACTCAGTGCAGGATTTGGGGTTAGATATCCGGGACATGACTTTTTAGGGTCAGAACCGAAATTTCAATGAAAATGCGAGTCGAAGACAATCAACGACAGTGGAATAACCACGTAATGCCCATTCTACAAACAAGTAGTACTATGAGTAGCATGTAATCCATATGGATACTTGCTAGCAAGTATCAATGTCGGGAGTACGGTATAATACCGTTACCATATATATATATATATAATGGTATAGGGGCGCTCACTGATCGTTTCTACGGAACTCACTTGTCCCGTTGTGCCTTACGGGCTCTCCCTCGAGACCAATTATCAGCCGCACAGCGACCACTCCAGTCTCTCCTGCCTTTGTCAGTAATACCATTCTGCTTATATCATGCGCCACTGTGCAGCGGCTGACTGGGCTCCAGAGAGAGCCCGTAAGGCACAACAGAACGAGTGAGTTCAGTAAGAACGATCGGTGAGCGCCCCTCTACCATTTTTTGCACACTTACTTCACGTCTGAGGACATCTTGGGGAACAAAGGTCAAGAATTTGCAAGAAATTTGTTTATATTTCCCAAAGAAGTTGTTTCTTCCGAAATATATATATATATATAATGGTAGGGGGCGTTCACCGATCGTTCATACGGAACTCACTCGTTCCGTTGTGCTTTAAGGACTCTCTCTCGAGCCCAACCAGCAGCCGCACAGCGGCGCATGATATATAGGCAGAATGGTATTACCGACAAAGACAAGGGAGACAAGGGTGAGTGCCCCCTACCATTGTATATTCCCGATCGAAAACCCACAGGGCAACGGGCTCGTGGCCCGGTGGGTAGAGGCGTGGACTTCTAAACCACCAGGTCGCGAGTTCGAGGCTCGGGTGTTCCACACTTCGGGCTTGGGTATGGCTGGCTGACGACGGCTAATAAGCCAAAAATGGCCATTCCAGTCTCCCTTGTCTTTGTCGGTAATACCATTCTGCCTATATATATATGAGAAGAAGAGGCGATCTCGGGAACCATAATTATATTGCCGTGTTTCAAAAACAAACAAGTTTCCATCATCGGAGGTGAGTGTTGTACCGCACCCCCAGTATTTATAGGTGGTGACGATCTTGTTACAACGGGCTTACCTCTCATCGGGAGCCAGCGTTCGGGCGCTAGTCGTCATCGCATGTGTTTGCATTGATATTAGCTTTCGTTCTAGGCTGGCAATCTTCTTTATGACCCCACGACCGCTTGTATTCTTACCTGCCGAATAAGTGGAAGTGACGATAGCACCTTCGTCAGGTCCGTTTGCGTCACCGCGACCGTCCGTTTTCTCACTTGTCGGATAAGTAAATGAGGCGGCTGTAGTGACGATGGCACCTTCATCAGGCTTGGGTCGTAGTACAACTACGTGTGTGCCTCCATGGACTTGGCCGTATTTGGGTTCCGGTCTTATCATAACCCGCGTTTGCTCTTTTGTTCACTGAACTGCGTCCTGAGGGCCAGGTAGGCTTCGGAAAGCGCTAAACTGCGATTGATGAAGTTCGCGCCGGTGTGCCAGGCATCGATCGTTTCTCTGGATATTCGGTCATTTCCTCGGCCTAGGATTTCGATATTCTGATAGGCGAATGTGTGTCCAGAGTTTGCGCAGTGTTCTGCCACCAGGGACAACGGGTTCATTCTCCTTACTGTCCTCACGTGTTCTCCAGCGCGGGTCTGTAGTCGTTTGCCGAACTCCCCATTGTAATCAACTTCGCAGGAGTTACACCGAACCCAAAAGGTTAGTCTGAGGTTCCATCTCGTGTCATGGAAACCTAAGGCGTCATAACCAGATGTCGAATTGGACGAGAGCGTTCAGGAACGACAGGAACAGCGGGAGCGTCAAGACAATAAATCTACAGCTCCCATGATCGCCCTTTCCTCTCACGTATCTCCAGGGACGCGCACCCTAACTTCTATTACCAATATATGAATATAGAAAGAATTATTCAGAAGTTACTGGCAAAAGTTTCGAGATCGTCAGGGAATGAGCCGTTTTTACTTACCTCAGGTCAGACACATTCTGAAAATTTTACGTCATTAAACTGTAATTTGAGTTAATAGTTGACGTTACGCCCTCATAAGATTGTACATTTAGAGGGAGATTTGAAACCCTAATTTTTCCATCGCCGGCGCTCTCAAATAAAGAAGGGTTAGTAATTGATATTGCATCTGAAGGTAATTCGGTTGGTTGCATTGTTGACCTATCGTGCCTCGAAAAGTTGTTCACGGTCGCAGTATACGAATATTTAGGCATGAAATATTTGAAACTGCTAATTCAATCTTCGACCAAACTTGTCTGGACAATACTACTGATGTCCTCATTCACACTGGCAGTTTGGGTAGAACATACTGAAAAAAAACTGAAAACTATTTAAAGTGGTTTAAAAGTGGGACAAAATCTGAGATGCATCAGGAGTCGTCACCATATAAATCTCAATTTTCCTGAACATGGCCTATCCACCTTAGAATATAGACAGACCCGAAGGCATCTCGTATAAATCAACTGGATCAGGAGGATGTGAATCTCCACCCTTAAGT